AAGCACGGCAAAGCACACCAATGAATACTATGAGTAAATAACCTGAAAGCAAATAGGGAAGAAAACCTCATCTGGGTAATTGTGGCTCTTGGGACAAAAATCAGGTTCCTGGTACGTAGCCTGGCTGAGATCATCCCTTTTCCCTGGATCCCTGACCTGGGATTCAAACGTCATTCTCTGTGTGGTGTTGTCCTTATTTTATTCCTAGGAAAAGGATCCCCAAAGGAGGTGTAAGGATCCTGGACTCTAGTGTCTGCAAGAAGCTTCAGCCACCTTCACAGGTAGAAGTCACTGTCTTTCCTACAATGCCACTAGTGCTCTTTCTGCTCTCCAGATCTGCTCCCTCCAGCAGGACAGAGACACCCCTTAACTCCCCGAGTCCTGATTTCCTACAATTCAAGGGGCTGAGGGTTTGCATTGCCTCCACCATCAGAGACTTTTTCCTATGGGAATCTCCCTAGAGCAGGGGAGAAATCTGTTCTTCCATTAGAATGAGACTGCTCAGTAAATCCACTCACACTGACCTCATCTCAGCTGCTTTGTTTATCCGAGATTAGTGGTATCTTTGGAAAACCCTTAGAGTGCCGGTGTGTGAGGTGGAACAGGGGAGACGGGAGCTCCAGGAGATTCTCCTGAAGAACACCACCCTGTCTTTCTCTGGTCAGGTTAAAGTTCGCCATCCATTAGGAGGTGAAGACCAGATGGGAACTGCTGGATTGACCTTGATATACCATGTCCTTGAGTGGATGAAGGACCTACATCTCAGGGATGGCCAGCAGCAGATGTAACACATGTGTCCAGGAATAGGCTAAACAACCTACACTGATAGGTAAGTACATTCATGGCCACATGTAAACATCACAGGAAATGGTGGGGATTGAACCAGGGTCCTTCAGCACAAGCCCCTCTCACTCAGTTTCAACCAATCCAGCTCCAGCCATTAGACCGCGCCCCCTTCCAGAGCTGCTGAACCCAGGAGCCCTGATTCTCAGACCCGGGCCACACATCACAAGGCCAAACCTCCTCCCATTATGGGCACTGTAGAAGGGACCATTGGCAAAAAAACCCTCTTCATTCCCCCTATCAGAGCCTGCAGCCACGGGTGACAAGTGAATGAGCTGAGATCTCCCCTGTGGGAATCCGAGGGGCTGCGCATTTGGGTTTCACAGGGAAGGCCTCTGGCAGCCATTGACAGAGTGTTCCTGTGAGGAGATTTTTCCATCTCTAACAAATAGTTTCTGTTCCCCCAGATCTCAGCCGCTCAGCAGAATGCGGGAGAGCCGAGTGCTGATGGGCTAGAGGGGTCCCAGGCGTCGCTGTGCAGCCGGTGCAGTGTCTGCAGTCACCATGGGCCAAACCCTGCGCTCCAGACAACCCCGGCTGTTCCCCTGGATTGCGAAGGGGACTTTCGCTTGGGGAATCGGTGGCTGGTGCCTGTGTCCACAACTGGGACGTTTTCATGAGGCTACTGAATGGTCCATGAAGCGCCATGCGAGCAAGGGGAAAATGGACATTAGAGAGCGCGGCTGGGACCTCTGTGGAGCTGCTGCAGTCGAGCATCCACAGCCAGAAGAGAGACGACGGGAAAGGCGCTGAGATGCTGCCACAGCCGCAGCAGCTGTCTCACCAAGCTCTGCTCACGCGCTAGCCAAGAGAGGCAGGACAAAGAGCCACCCAGTGACAGCCTGGGTTGCAATTCGCAATACGCGGTTTTTTCAGTGGATTCTGCTGTCCTGACTGTCTATCTCCTGTAATGTGCACATCCAGCCTCCCTGGCTGACCTCAATGGGAGTTAGGTTCTCCGTGCCCACAGGACAGGGCTGGCCTTACCATGAGGCGAACTGAGGTGGCCGCCTCAGGTGACAGACTGTGTGGGGGCACCACTAGGACCCAGAGGGTAGAAAATGGTGTCTGCTGCTGGTGCATATGTATTCTCCCTGCTCCAGATGCACAGAGATGGTGGCGTGCTGGGCTGGAGGAAGGGGCCATCCCTCCCATCTCTCCCCAGGGAGCAGAGCCTCCTCTGTCTGCAAATCCTGCAGCCCGCCCGCTGTCGGAGCATGCCATGCAAGCCGGCCCCGGCTGCACCGCACGGACAGCACAGCTCAGCCCCAGCAGGGGGCTACAAGGGAAAGGAGCCATTACTGTGTCAATGTACCTATCTGTATCGAGTCACACGCAAAGGCCTTCGCTGGCTTTCTAAAGGGCAGGAGAGCAATTCACCGGAAGCGTGGTTCTTATCTTGATTGGCAGCGGCTCCCCCAAATCTTGGCACCCTAGGTTGCACCGTGCAGGCAGTCAGGAGAAAAGGTGAGAGGAGAATAACAGAAAGTAACAGGAGTTGCAGGGAGAGAAAGGAGGAGGAGCCTCTTATGCACCTGTCTAGCACCTGCAGGAGCCTGGACTGATTAACATCAGCTTGTCAGGGAGCTTCCTGTTTCCTGCTGCTTCCCTGAACCCACTTGAGGAGAACAGGTGGTCAACTGAAATAGTAGGAGCCAGTTAGGCCCTTAAGAGGCTGATTTCTTCCCTCACTCAGGCCCTGCTACCAGCCTGCTTATTTGTCCCCTTCAATTGAGTGTTGAAAACCACTATAGCTGGCACACAACAGCAGTCATGAGTGAAAGAAGAAAACGCCGCTCTTAGAAAAGGAAAGAAAGCAAAGGAAGCTTTTCTACCTAAGCAGGAAGGAGCTCTCCTGAGATACACAGACACAAATGTTCACGCGGACCCCTCCGGGCCCCATGAGGATGT